TTTCGTTCCTACTTAACGTTTACGTTGTAAGTATTACATACTATATATATATATATATATATATATATATATATATATGTGGCGTGGATTCTGTACGCCCACTAACTGATCGCTACAATAAACGCCAATGGCCCAGATTGAATTTGGGTTGATCTGATGGTCATGACCTATTTTTGTATTTTAATTTTAATTTTTTTTTTATAAATCTAAATCGCTTAAAATTTTAGGTGTATATTCTTCTTATCAAGGTGCACTTAATAAATAATAATAATAATAACAATCAATAAAAATATTTATCAAAACACCCCTAAAACTTTACAGGGGTATTTTGGTCAATTTGTTTCATATAAAGTATTTTTTTCATATTTTTCAAATATTCACCTATTTTTTATGTACACACGCTCCAAATTTCAGGTCCATCCAATTTGTAAAAAAAATTAAAATTCGAACACTACCAGACATTCGAGATCATCAGATCAACCCATATTCAATTTAGGCCATTGGCGTTTACTGTAGCAGTACGCCCTTGGGCTGACAGGAATTTTTCACCCATATTTTTTTTTTTCTTTTGGCAAAGATCACTTACAAGCAGTTTTAATACAATAAACTTTTGCTTCAAAGAAAATAAAGACTAGCAAATCTAAAATCCTAAAACTTGATGCCACTAAACCAATTTATTTAATCAAAGAGATGACCACAATTCTTACGGGTGAGAATATAAATACAATATAATTAAATATGATAAGAAAAAAAAAAAGAGTGTCGGATATTACCTCAACCGCATTTATTACAATCCACACCGAGTCACTGCCATTTGATAACACGAGATCAATGATCAACCTTCAATCTCAACCGAAAAAGCAAGTTTAGGCCAAACTCTCCAATAGAACTTTTGAACTCTTTTTAATCACAAATCTCAAACTTAGGTATAACTCATAAAATCTAGTTTAAGAGAGATAGCGTCTATTTACTTCTACCCAACCCTTAGATCATCACAAAACAAGATTTCCACCCAACCCTTAGATCATCACAAAACAAGATGAGAGAAATAGTTTTATCTAAGTGGGGCGTGCCCCCTAATTTTCTATAAGAGATGATGAAAATGGATGGTCTAGATAATGTGTTGCAAAATGCACTATTTCTAAGACTTCTTTTTTTTTTTTTTTCATATTCGTACATCTCGATTTCGAGATGATCAATTAGAGGGTTTTTCAACATTAAAACAACCTTTTCCAATAGATTTTTGAGGTGTATCTTTAATTCTACATTTTAAAATTGTAGCCTTATATAAACTTTTATCTATTAATATTGTATTTTGATAAATGGGATTTAGTTTTGGTAGTCACCCTTACGAAACTCTTTCTCCTCCGTTTATGCCTTGCTCACTTTGACCTTCACAAATCGGTAAGAATTGAGCCTTATCATTATGTAACCAAACTACCAAACAATGTCAAGAGCTCAACTCTGGGCATTAGAATGGACAATTACGGGGTCTTCGGGTCAAATTTTTTTAAATAATAGTCTAGATAATTTACTACGAGATGTATTATTTTTATGACTTGAAATATATTTTTTTATATTGACATCTGTAGGTTGAGATGATTAATTTGAGGGTTTTTTTCGCATCAAAACAGCCGTTTTGTGCAAATAATATTATTAAATTAGTGGGGATCATTAATATTCAATATGGGTATGTGTATGAAATAACAAAAGAACTAATTTTTTAGCTATAACACGCATAGAGATGATATTATCGGATTTTTAGATTTATCAAAATAAATGCATACTAAAAGAGGTTAACAATTGATGAGTTGATGAGATTGCTACTATACTATTAAAGAAGAGTGCCTAGACAGACTATTCTATGACATAGAAGACTAATGTTCATTATGTGTTAATGCTTATAAAATATTCCAAGTCAATTCTAACCTGTTTCAAATAAATTCAACATAAGACTTAAGAAATAATTTGAAAGAAACACTTCAGACCTAACAACACGCTTATCATTATTCATAACTTCAAATTTTTTAAAATAGATACAGATTGCTTGTAAGGAACCTCCTTTTCTGGCTAGATCTCTATAAATATACTGATATATCCAACCACTAAATAATAGACAGTGTTATTATGATGCATTTGCAGTCCATCTGTTATCTTGTTCATCTTCTTTAGACAATTCTAACTATCTATGTTGTTCAAAAGATGACGGAAAATCAATGTCAACTATTTTCAATAGACATAGTAATAGAGCTGAAATAACTATTCAGATAACTCATTCTAATTCTACTACTTGAACCTTTTTTTTCTCAAGGGAAAAGTTTATATAGAGCCGAGGCTCTAAACAATCAAATTCGAGCCTACAAAACTTTCATTAGAAGAGGTTGTTTTGATGCTCAAATATCCTCAAATTGATCATCTCGACGTCAAGATGCATGGACATGAGAAAAAAAATGGATTTCAAGTTTTGGAGATATGTAATGCATTTTTTGACCGTCAATTTTAAAGATTTTCAAGTTTTTCATAGATATCTCGATCTATACTATTTTTGAAGCTTTAAACTTTATAAATAAATATGAAAATATGTTTTAAGGCTATCAAAAAGATTTCCAGTATTGAAACCACATTCCTCGACATTATTTGAAGGTAGGTTCTAATTGGATTGTTTAGAGCCTAAGCTCTATACAAACCGCTCCCTTTTCTCAAATAAATACAAATTTGAGTAATATTTTTCCAAGATACAAAATGACTTCTCTTTGTCTAAAGAGCCACCTGTTTTAGAGTCTTTTATGTTACTAAATTTTCACAATTGAGTAATAATCATCAGTATTGATGACAATCCTACCATCAGTCTACCATTCCATATCATGTTTGACAAATCATTCCTCATAAACATTTTTCTTAACGTATCTGGAAAAGTTTATAATATTTAGGAACATAAATTTTGATATATTAACTTTCAAGGGAAAACTTAGCCGATAAATGTCATATATTTTAAAGTATAATAAACCTTAGACCGATATTACAGTAATAGGATGATATAAAGAAAAGTAACTTATTGTCTAACTTTGAAAGTATGGTCCTTGAGAGAGCATAATAATGAAACAATATTAATATAGTCGACCCCAAAACCAAACTAAAGCTCTCTTTATCTCTCAATTTGAACCCGGGAAAGGCACTCTTCACATATATCTAAAGGGCATCCACGGACTCTTCACATATATTTGGAGTATCCCTCCCAAGAACCAACAAAGCTTGCAAGAAAAGTAATACATTGTCCTATCTGAATTTTAAAGAGTTTTGAAGTTGTTAATGAGGCAACAAATCATGGGAACTTGTTCGTGCTTTTCTATTTTGCGGTTTTGAGAAAAGAAAAATTCAATAGCTCCTTTCCAACTGATTTTATTTGGACTCCAACATAACTTGAACTTTGATCTAAGAGATAAATGAGAGAGGTGAACTACGTAAACGAGAGTATGCATTGAATACGTTGATATCCAAAAATATTAACAATAAGATCCCTTAGTAAATGGGATTGATAAGGATATCCTATATAGCAATGTTGTCATATTTCTTTTGGAGCCTTCTTTGATGAGAAAAATGAAGCAATTCGGGAAGACTTCATACTTCCTTCTTTTTTTTAAAATTTAATTTAATATAAAAAGTAGATATTTACATAAAAAATATATAAAAATGATGGAAAAAATAAAAAATTAATAAATTAAAAAAGATACTTTTATATAAGTATTTCTTTTCTGACCAAAGCAGCCCGAAGCTTCGGTCGAAGTAGACCCGAAGCAGGCCGATGCAGCTCGAAACGACTCGAATCTGACCGAAGTAACAACACAACGCTTCTCTTTGCTTCGGTGTATGCTTAAAATCCAAAAGCTTTGGCCTCTTCGACAGAAGCAAAGACGAATTTGATAACATTAGTATATAGGTTATGAAATCCCTTGAACTTAGATGGAAGACATGATGTGCATCCTCTTGAGTTCAAATTTCCTTATTAGAAGTTTAGAGAGTGAGGGGTATCGTGGAGTCTATCTGATATGTAATAAAGAGAGATTGCAGATGGGAAAAGTGAGCTATCCCTAAGGAGATCGGTAGGGGCCATCTACACTGAGAAGCAAGGCCTATCGACAGAGAAGTGAAATGGCGTGACAATGCATGTTGGCACATTTGCTTCACGTGAAAATGGTTTTTTAAGAAAATATTTTTATATGAAAAAATTATCTTATGTTGTATTCATATCAATTGATTTTAGTGTATCTTTTTATACCAATTGACAACTAATTGATGTAAAAATATTTCCACATTTGACCGCATGAGAGAATTTTTTGATGTGAAAATATTTTCACACGAACCAAACATGTAGAATAGTAGTTTAATTGTAAAAAATAAATATGTTATCAACATGCAATGTTGGTTGAAAGAATCAATTGTAGATTAAGAGGATAGTTTTAATTGTTGAACAACTGTTTTAGTTGTGGAAAAGAGATATGTTATTAATGAGCAATGTTAGTCATACTCTTACAATTACCTGATTGAAATATTTCAATCAGACGAGTATTTGTAACCTCCTTGTACCAAAAGTAAATAGTTTCTTTGTGTACCAATCGAAAATCGGGTAGAGATTTCCCACTGATTTATTAAAAAACAGCTAATTATTTCTAAAAATGAGTAGGGGTCTGTATTCCCTACTGATCTACCTAAAGAAAAAATGGGGTGGGATAACGTTTTGGTTAGGATAATTTTACCAACATATCGCTTCTCTTCATAATTACATATACATAGGAGTTCAAATGTGCCGAGCCTCTTTTTGGCTCCAACTCCCAAATAATAGGAATTCGATAATCAAACTTATGTCCACGGATCAAATTTCTACCAAGTTTTTTTTTTTTAATAATTAAAATAAATAAAACAAACAAAATAAATAAAATAAATAAATAAAACTTTGCTCAAAGGGAAAAGAAAAAAAGAGACTAGATAGAGGCTAGATATTTTGCGACCATGTCATTAATTCAAAATACAAATCGCATATGCCAACCTCAAAATATCAATTTTATTTTTATTACATCACAAACAACATGGAATATATAAAAACCAAAGTCATAAGAGCAAAGGGCTTAGATCCATCTCATAACCAACATTTCCTCCCTCACCATCTCTATAAAGGGAAAGTGAAAAGCCCTATAAAGTAATGGGTAGAAACACACCAACATCGTGATCAACAAACATTCAAATGAGAAAACGACATCTCAATACCACTTATTTTCACAAAAATACATAATATGTTACCCTCATTTTTATTTTCACAAAAATACATAATATGTTACCCTCATTTTTATGGAAAGCCCATAAGTGATTTTTTAAAATTTTTTTAGTTCGAATCCGACCGATTAAACTTATTTTCTAATCCAAATCTGTCGATCCGACCCAATTTTTCATATAAACATTCCAGATAATCCATCCATTCAAAACCTTGGTAACAGCATGAGCAATTTTGTCAAAGTTATCAAGTAAGATACCCCTCTCCATGACCCTCTCACCATACTTTTTTTTGATATTAGCATGAGCAGGAGCAATTTCGAGGATGCTGTTAATGAGATAAAGAGCCCTCTCTGCCCTCTCTCCCTCCCTCATTCCATTGCTTGTAATTCTTTTATTCCCTTATCCATGCCAACCTCTCTCATCTTAATCCCAAGTCAGAAGCCTTCAACAATGAAAAAAAAACAAAAAACAAAAAACCAAAAACAAAAAACAAAAAACAGAAAACAAAAACAGTGGAATCAAATGTGTGACGAGGGTTAATTACGGCCTTAATGCAGAACGTCTTAATGAAAAAGAGGGAAATAGAGAGAGAGAGAGAAAAAAAAGGGTTTGATTTGATTTGACTTGTGAAAATTGGAAGGAAAAAATAAAGGAGAAAAAACATGGAAGAAAGGGGAAAAGAACATAACCAACCCACGCAAAGTTCCTTGTTCTCTCTTTCTTTCTTTCTCTAGATCATATGAGGTTTTCTCTATCTGGATTAGAACAGGTTTTGAAGGTTTTTGGTCTTTCAGTGTCTTCTTTCATGTGAGATCAGAAGTTCAGAACCAAGATGGGAGGTAATTTTTTTTCCCTTTCTCTCTCTTTGTCTTTTCGCCTAAAGTGAATCCTTTTTTGCTTTTTGGTGATAGTTTCTAGTTTTTCTTGGATTTTTTTTAATGGGTTATGTGTGGTTTTCAATGATTCATGCTTTGTGTGATGGGGTAGTGTTTTTTGGGTAGATTTGTGGGGATTATTGCCATGTGAATCTGCTACTCTTATTACAATTAATAATCCTGTTTTCAATAGCAGATTTTACTTTCCATGCTGGTATTAGATCAGGTCCTCTCTCTCTCTCTCTCTCTTGGTTAGGATGATATGCAAATCTTGAACCTGATAGTTATTGACACGAATAGAGGGCCGAATATTATGGTTGACTCAAATAGATTCATGCCATGGGGTTCGAGTCCATGAACCCTAATCTCCCTTTTCAGTTCACTGTGGATTAACATTATACAAAAAGTGGTACATATAAGTTGCAGGAGGTTTTATGGCATTTTAGTTATCCTACAAGTTACTCTCTAACAATTTGTGGGTTGTACAGTGATGAGAAAAATTTAGAAGTGTTGGTGGGGATATGATGATTCTTTTATAATAGCTTTGTGAAAAATTGACACGAATCTTAGAATTAGAATAGGAAATGAATGAAAGATTTTTACCTCAAACAAAATCTTGGAATTAGTGAAAAAATTTATCAAGATTTAGAAATCTTAGAATTAGATTAGGAAATGAATGAAAAAAATTTACCTCGAGCAAAATCTTGGAATTAGTGAAAAAATTTATCAAGATAAGTCTTGATATGGGAACTTCATATTTCGCAACTTTGAAATACCCTTGATGGATGAAATTGGAAGTACTATGAGCTAGTAAGTCTTCAAGGACAGAACTCAAAATTTGATGGAACTCATCTGGAATTTGCGGGGAAGTACTATGAGCTAGTAAGTCTTCAAGGACAGAACTCAAATTTTGATGGAACTCATCTGGAATTTGAGGGTTTACTTCTAGATTTTATGGTTGATAATTAATATTCCAAACTTGTAATATTTTCATTATATTTCTCTTCATCCCTTAGGTATTGTGTCATTCATACTTTCATAGTTTATATGTAAACAACCCATCATTCTTTTCTGGAAGGTTTAGCTGGGTTTCAACTTTGGAAGCAGTGTGGTTGTAACCCATTATTCCTATTGGCAAATAATCTTTTTTTATATGAGGGTGCAATACTCTTTAAATGTAATTTCTTTTAGCTGTTGGAACCTTCATATCCTGTGGAGAATATCACAACAAACAAGTCTACAAATTTCTACATTTTTTTGTTTTAATCATTCCTTAAATTTCTTAATCTCCTCATGGTTCTGGTAGCTTCCTACATTGAGTCTTAGAAAATTAATTGGTTTAGGCTTGTGTTCATAGTTTATTAGTTTCCTATGGAAACTTTATTAGCTGGAGAGGCTGTCTCTTTATTTTGTAAAAAAAACCAAGAATAAGATTGGGAGAGATGGAATTGTGTTATCATATCCAGTTGCAGGCTGTACGATGAATGATAGCTCTGAGAACATGCACTATTGCAGTGATCTGTTGAAATGCTTATATTTGTTTGACAGAAATTAGAATAGTTCCCCAGGTTGTATTCTTTAAGCCAAAGCTTTGATGGTATTTTGGACATTAAATAGTGTCTTTGTAGTTTACAAGTGTCATATAAAGGGTTCATTCAACATTTGATGGATTAGCAATTTTGTTAGAGTTATGCAAATTTAGTCACTGACTGGCTGTGTCCATCATGGTTCCTCGTAAAGCAGCTGTCGAATACCACTCATCTGTTGATGTTTGAGTAGCATCTGATGACACTAGATAAGGTGTCTTTGCAACAGTATAATAGGCAAGAAGGCACATTAATCTTCAATGAAATTTGGAATTCTCCTTTTCTTGATGTATGGAGCTGAATGGTTGTTACTAATGATGATGATTTGGGCAATATGCATGACGAAGTGTACACTTGCAGCAGTACTTATGAAACTCTACTTATTTTTTGACTTCAAAATTTTCCAACATAACTACAACAAAGTTTTGCTTAAATAAAAGGGTTTTAAAAAAATGCTACAATGGAGTGTTAACTCTGTCGACCCAAAGCTGATTATATAAAAAATATAACAAAATTAGTTTATCAACATCATGAGGAAATTTATTGCTATGTGTTGATACTTGGAAGGTTATACTTGTTAGCATGAGCTCATACATGCATATATTGATGTAATTATTTTCTGTAAATTTCACTGATTAATGAATTCTGATTGTTTCTTCAATTAGAAAATCAGCTACATAGTATAGTGAACCTTCACTTCATTTCTTTTGAATGCTTTTCTCCCCTGTATTTGGCTTCGTCTTTTGGGATATTGGCATGTTTCTCATTAAGTGTTTCATCATCATCATTTTAGCCTTTTTTCAATTAATTGGGGTTGGCTACATGAATCTTGGTTCTCCATTATGCTCTATAAAAGGCAATATCCTCAATGAGACCAAAAGTCCCCATTTCTTTTCGAACTACTTCCAACCATGTCCTTTTGGGCCTACCCAATGCCCTTTTTAGTCCTTCCACTTGAACTAACTCGCACCTCCTAACGAGTGTTCTACTTTGTCGGCGTCACACATGGCCAGCCCACCTAAGTCTAGAGTCTACTCTTTCTCATTAATTGTTTACCTTTCGAAATAAATCTTACAAGTTTTTGAAAATTTTCTCTAATTGGTGTTTTGAACAGTTTTTTAAGTAGGAAAATTAGATTAATAACGAGTGAACTGTGATACGTCTCTTATTTTTTCTTTTTCTCACTTCAGTAGCTCTAGTCTTTCCTCGATGTTGACATGGTTCTCATTGTGCATTTGCTTTTTGAAAGAATATTGATTACTGTATAACATAATTCATTCCTTATATGCCGGTAATCTAGAAGAGTTGGTTGTGTTCTGAAGGCCTATTCTGAATGGATCATTCGTTGATGGGTATTGATGCTTGCGTATTTGGTTTCATCATTAATATGATTTGTGCTCCACTAATATCAGCATAACATATTCTTGCATTCTTCTTATGAATGTTCTAGAATCCTGTAATATTGCCTCCGATGATGATATGATCTTTCATGAGAAGAATAAGAAAAGAAAGCTGAAGACCCCATCACAACTTGAGGCTTTAGAGAAGTTCTACAATGGTATGAGTGGTGAACCCGTGTGTTTGTGTGCGCGTGCGTGTGTGCATGCGCGTGTGTGTGCTTCATCTATTATTCTCTTTTTTAGGAAGTGCCATTGACAACTACATTGTTTGGTTGTTTAGAACATAAGTATCCGCCAGAGTCCCTTAAAGTACAGTTTGCCTGGAAATGGGGCTTATCTATGAAACAGATTCAGGTATGGTTCTGGCACAGAAGGTTGAAGGACAAAAAGGTTTTCAAAGAAGATGCACTCGCTAATGGAGAGCAAGATACTCAGAGAATTAGACAGGATTTAGTTAGCAGCTCAAAACAAGGGGAGAGCAAGAATTTTAATTTGAGTAAAGTAGAGAGCCAAAGATTTAATGACCCCAGTCTCACCTCAGAGCCTAGGCATCGATATGTTCTGACTAGAACTTGCAGTGCTATGCATAATAATGCCTCTTCTGAAAGCGATTCAGCTTCAGAAGATAGGTCATCTTTGCAGACTGAGGATCACTACGATATGAAGCCTTTGATATACTCTTCATTACACAACAATTACAATGAGTATGTCAATATGGATGGCAAAGTGAGAAGGGGATATGCTGTGTTGGATGAAGACATATACTTTCAGGAGAATGGTGAGGATCCCACTATTTCTTCTGTGAAAAGAAAGCTTGGAAGGCATTACCATGAAGATGGCCCAATGCTTGGCATTGTATTCCAGCCACTTCCTCCTGGTGCTTTTGACGCATCATTTGAGGATTCTCGATCTGGTAAAACTTCTATTCCTTTCTTAAGTCCTCCTGATTTAACTTATCTATATTCCATTTGGATAGTTTATGGCCTCTGCTTTTTATCATACTTGAAACAATCTGTTCATTGTTGTAGAAAGTAGAAACTACTGGGTAAGTCATAGGAAGGTACTTTGAAGTGACAGTTTGGAGTTCTGTTTCTAGAGGCAGCTTCTTTATGTAGTGGACTGGCAAATTTAATTTTTTGATTAGGCCTGGTAGCTAAGATTGAGGAGGAAGGTTAGTGTATTGAATCATCCTAGGGACCATCAGAAATGTATTTTTTCTTATTCATAATTGGGAAGCGAAAATCTTTATTCATGCAACAATTTTTATGATATAATTGGTGCCTCTGAATTTCTTTAGTGGCCTCTTCATCTCCGGATACATCTCTCTAAATATAGTACGGGATATTATAAATTGTAGAGCTGTGTCTTTTCTTTCTTAGGTTGATTGAAGAAGGTAGGAAGCTGAAGGAACTGGTTCCTAAAACATGAATCAGATGTGTCAGTCAGTGTCTATGTTAATCTGTTTCATGTTTTGTTGTTTTAAACAATGTTATGGGACTCACCTCGGCCAAGGTACTCAGCCTTTGGCTGAGGCGAGTTACTTGGGCGAGTCTAAATGACTAGCCTAAGTCCTGCACAGGGCAAAAAACCCTAGAAAATTTTAAAGATATAAAAAATGTGAAAAATAAAATAAATATAAGAAAAGTAAAATAAAACTAAAATCAACCTTGAAAATTCCAAAGAAGCTTATAAAGTATAGAGAAATAGATCTAAAAAAAATGATTTATAGTTTGGAACATTTTTAATCCCAAAAAAAGGAAAATATAAAAATAGGTACTATGGCAAAAGAACTCACCAATCTTTTCCAAACACATCCAAATTATATACAATAAAATTTCACACCTTCTCCTTTTCTTAGGTTTCTCTTTTTTTTTTTTAAATTTCTTTTATGTACCTGAAGTTGTACATACAACTTGGGGCTACTCGGCCTTGCCTGAGTAAGTCCCATAACACTGGTTTTAAATTATTAGCAACTCTTCAAAGAAGAAAAAGTACAAAAGTCATGCAGTTTAGGGAACAAGAAAAGATCTTCATTACTTGGCTCCTTACTTGATCAAAGGATAACTAATTATCTTGGTTTTGAAATTTAGAAGTAATCTCCAAATTCTTCTATCACTCTAAAATGGAAGAGTAGAACCCTGGCATCTGAACAATGATACTGTTCTGGTTTCAGATTCTAGGAAAAATTCAACCTGAACAAAAGTAATTAAAATATGACAAAATGATTATATTTACATCAGGGACAAGTCACTGTACAAAATCTGAATATATAGTGGCATTCTTTTATCATATTGTCATTATATAACATTCAAGATGCTGTTTTGTAGCATTTCTTTTCAGCATTGTTTTCTATACTCTTTAAATATTCTTTCAATTCCTACAATTAACTCTTGCTGGAAGAACTTCTAATGTGATACATTTGGTTTGTGACATCTTCCTATTTTTTGTTGTTTTCAGCTCACTCATTATACCAGGTCTTTGTCTTTCTTGATTCTTATGTTTCACAGCGCCATATCATTTTGGAAGTTCCATCATGCATAATGCTCATAACATGTCAAGAGTGACAAATGAATCCCAAATTGGAATGGTAACTAGATATTTCTTTTTCTGTGGAAAGACCTAGTTTGCAGCAATGGCATATCTAAGAAACTTTTTCATATTCCATTAGGTATTCGCCTGTCTGATTTAAGCTTCAAAGTTGCTTTTTGGCTGTTTTTCATTGTGCATATTATGATGACTTAGTTATGAATCATTTTATCTTAATGAATGATACGGTATGTTATCTGTAGTTCTGAATGGTGGGGAATTGATACCATTGGCAACAACCAATCTCTTTTAACAAGGCAAATGGGAGCAGGGGAATTTGGGGGCATATTATATTGAAGCTATTAGAAGCTGGGTCCAAATATTATTTTGAGATGATGCCTGTATTTGGTTTATAAGCCTATGCAATGGTCTGGGCAATACAATTTTTCATTGCCTTCTGAAAATGGAAAAAAGCATTTTGCTTAAGTTTGTAATTGTTAACTTTTAGACAAATATGTTTTTAGCGTCATTTCTTCCAGTTTCCAAATCTATGATAGAATGGTGGTATGTATCTTCTTTTTGGGGATGGATTAGTGTGAGGCATCATAAAATATCAAAACTGTAACCTCTTCCCTAATCCATGGCGGGAACAGCAGTAAGGCTTGTCGTTTGGAATGATGCTTTTTAAGGATGGTAGGACCTTCTTAACTAAATCCTTTTTTCGTTATCTTTTGCACCATTTTCAAAATCCCAATGTTGGCAAAATATCCACTGTAAGAGATGCAATTGCAGTTCTCAAGGGAAGGAATGACGTGTACAGGATTCTATTTATGGTTTCAGATGTTCAAAGTCTAAAATCTTGTAATATCGATAAACTTTAGTATGGGCCTTCACTTTACATGGATTTGGATATTAGAATGTGCAGATGATGAATAGATACCTTGTAAAGGGTGGCATAAAGGTGAGGTGGTAGCATAAAGGTTGGGGATCTTTTTTATGGAAAAGTTTGGTTAGTTATTGATAGGTGGAGTAAATTGGCCTGAGATGTTGATGACATTATGTTTTATATGAAGTTTGATGTAGCAGTTGGCATTTACAGGACTTGTTTGTAGATTTGTTTTCAGTGCTCTTTTATAAGGGACCCAAGTTAGCTATTCTTTCCAACATGTGGCAGGTTTTGCTGTGGTGTCTCCCTTGAAGAAGGCAATTGGAAGACACTCTTAAGTGATGGGCTATGTCATTTGATAACTTTTTATTGAGGAGTAAGGTGGATCTTTTAGGTGATACTGTACCCCCTTTCTGGTTTGTGATCATTAGCAAAGGTATACAGTTGACTGCTTGGCGTAGAGAAAAGTTGGTTTGCTTGGTGGAGCAGATATTTTATTATCCTTATTCTTAGCTGTAACTTGGCCTCATTTTATTATGGTCGAAAGGAAATCATCGTAGATATACTTTTATAGTCTTTCAGTCATCTAATATCCAGCTCCTTATTAATATTGTTTCTGTATCTCTAGAAACAAAGTATGCGGGTTTTTTCTCTGACTTGAGGAGATACTTTAGAATGATAGTCAAGGATTAGAAGCTTTTCGCCTTATCATGTCCATCTTTGGTTTGGCATAGCACAGTTTGGGCTGCTGGGGTGCTGTCAAGCTAAATTTTGGTGGATTTTGTGGTTAATCCAGGCAGGGCAGGTACGAGTGGAATATTTGTGTTACAGAAGGTAGGAAGCTCATAAATTTTTTGACTCCTCTGGGTTTTGTGATTCCACACTGTTGGAGGCTCACACATTGCTTAGTGGTCTACAGAATTGCCCTTTCATTTAGATTGTTTGAATGCCATAAGATGGGCCGGTAAAGAGTCCCCTACACCGTGGTTTATGATTCTTTTGGATATAAATGGCATTTATGACAATATGGGTGTGACCTTTGTGCAAATCCTTAGTGGCTGAGGTCAACTTCCTTGTTGATCAAGGGGTTCTTCGAGAGTTGCTTTCTGTTCAAGCAGTTTCAATGTAGGATTCCTGATATGTTGCTTGACATCTCTTGACCTGTGTATTTTGTTCTTATAGGTTTTGTTCTTATAGGTTCTTTGTTCTTCTATTTTTAAAATAATTTTTTCATTGATGATCTGAAAAAAAGAAGAAGCTGCTAGTTGAGGGTGTCTTTGTTTTGTTTCTTTTTGAGAATGTTAACTTTTATATATAGTAAAGGGTCCCAACTGGGTAAGATAGTAGAAGCTAGCCACAGGAGGCTAGCAGAGGTACAGGGGCGAGAGAGAGAAGAAAGAGGATAGGGGACAGAATTAAAAGGCCATCTTTTAGAGGGTTACATTGAGAACAAGGCAATCAACAAAAAGAAACCCATCCAAAAAATAAGCAGTCCTTCACTAATAAAGCCATCCAACATCATAGAAGTCCTTCACTGGTCGCTGCTGCTTTGGCCAGGGTGTCTGCGTCGTGGTTTGCTTCCCTCCACGTGTGCTTTTAGAAAACCCGAATTCCCCTGCAAAGCTGGAATATTTCGTCAAAGATGTGAAACAGAGTCCAAGGAGTGGAAGAGAAGTTTTGGGCCCAGGTGATCACGTTCTTGGAATATCCCTCTACTATTACAGTCTCAATCCTATGTAGTGAGAGAAGCCTAATGCTCTCTAGGAGTGCCGAAGCTTCTGCCTCCATGGATTCCTTCTGACCGATAAATTTGGAGATGGTTGCTATCGATTTCCCCAGGTGATTCCTAAGGATGACGCCAACTCCTGAAGGACCTGGGTTCCCTAAAGAACACCCATCGAAGTTGAGTTTGAAGTGTTCCGGTTCGGGCGGGCAACATTTTGAGGCTTTAGGCACTTTTCTTTTGGAATGATGAAGTATCGCATTCCAGTTCTGATAAAAGGCTAATGGAGCCACACCTTCGAAGTATTTGTGGCTCTCTGCCCAAAAAATCAGCTTAGCTTTAATTTTGGTGAAGATGAGATTTGGGGTTGAGGATTCTCCTCTAAATATCCTTTGATTGCGCTCAAACCGGTGCCCCCCAAAAGTTCCTGCCACTGCTGTTTTCCCCAATTGAGTTCCTGCTTTGGGCTAGGGAAATGGTTCTATGGCACTGAGAATTAGAGGAGCATCTTTGGGAGTGACCCACTGAGTTTTGAAAAGAGAAAGTAATTTGCCCACACTTCAAAAGCAAAAGGGCATGACAGGAATAGTTGGGAGTTGGATTCCTCGTTGTTGAGGCACATAGAACATCTTTTAGGCATGGAGAAACCTCTCCTTTGGAGTGGGTCTACTGTTAAGGCTTTCAAAGAAAGCCCTATCCATGTAAACACCTGTAATCTTGGAGGGGCGAAGGAGTTCCATGCTTGCGCCACTCGAGAGGAAGGGTGCAAAGGGAAGGTTGGGGATTGAGAGAGAAACGAGCAGAAGGAAGAGACGGAGAGGACTCCTGAGGCAGAGGATGTCCAAACAACCCTATCCCGGCCTTGATGAGCTAGAAAGCGAGAGGGGAGGGAGTAGGAGAGATATGACAATTGCCTAATCTCAGCATCTGAAATTTCTCTCCTGAAGTGTGGGTTCCATGATCTGAAAGATCCTGTCATTGTCATTTCTTCAGCAACAGTAGCCCCTTTGTTGCGCGCCAATGAAAATAAGAATGGAAATTGATCCTTGAGAGTTTATTGGCCAAACCAAAGGTCCAACCAGAAACGTACCCTATTTCCTTCTTTTGGGTGGGTCCTAAGACCTTTATAAAAATTGTGAAAGGTCGAAATGATGGATCTCCAAACCCCGAAGCTCTAGGATAAGGTCTCATCTCAAGAATCCAAGGGGAGTAGGGGATTCGGTATTTGAACCTCAAGATGTCTATCCACAATTGGTCTCTTAAGGTGAAAAGCTGCCACCACCATTTTCCTAGTAGGGCGAAGTTTTGGATTCTAAGATTTCTGATTCCCAAACGCACCTATCTTTTTGGGTGGCACAGTTTGTCCCAAGAGATAAGGTGGAACTTGTGTGTAGTGGCATCAGCCAACTAAAGAATCTGCGGATTACTTTTTCGATCCTATCGCAAACAGCTGCAGCCATCCGAAAAAGGGACGTCTGTTATATACCGGGATGTTGGCTAGGGTGGCTTTGATAAGAGTAGACCTACCAGCAGGGGATAGAAACCTGCCCTTCGAACTTGTTAGTTTCTATCCACTTTGTCTTGAATGTAGGACCAGAGCCTCTTTTTTAGTTTGCCTACACAAAGAGGTAGGCCAAGATACAATGAAGGAAGTTCTTCGGCTTCACAGCCGCAAAGATCAGCGAAGCCTTTTACTACTGCAAGGTCAGTTGCTATCCCCATCATTTTTTATTTCTTGAAATTCACCTTGAAGCCAGTAACAAATTCGAAACATCTGAGAAACCATAATAGATAGTCGACTTCTTCTGGTAGAGCATTACAAAAACGTAGAGCATTACAAAAAACCAACGTATCGTTGGCATATTGTAGGTGCTAACAAGAGGGCCATTTCTACCACTAGGGAATCCATTAATCAGACCCGTTGCAAACATCCTTGAAATAGAGCAGCTGAAAACTTCTGTCATAATGGCAAAAAGGAAGGGGGATAGAGGATCCCCTTGTCGTAGACCCCCCTAGAGGAGGAGAAGAACCCTTCCAGTGACCCGTTGATTAGGATGGAAAAGTAAGGTTGGGTAAAGCAAGCCCTCATCCAACCTCTCCACTTGCTTTCAAATCCCATTCTAGATTGGGTCTCTTCTAGTTTTGCCCAATCCACATGATCGTAAGCCTTTTCCCTGTCTAATTTCACAATTAGACCTGGGTTTTTGCTGTATGTCTCAAGTGAATACATTCAGGGGCCATTAAGGCCCCGTCCAAGAACTGACGATCTTTGACAAAGGCGCTTTGGGTGGGGGAGATTACCGAAGGGCAGTGTATCAAAAAGCGCTTGAAAAAAAATAAAAATCCCATTGTTCCAATATACCATATTCCAAGAATCCAACTTGACAAAAAGAAAGAAAGAAAGAAAGAAGTCGAGAGAATTTTGATAATTCATATTGTTAATACAGTAAAC